AAACTACTATGTGCTCGCAATGTCCACAATGTTTCCTGATGCCTCCCAGCCATCGATTGTTTCAATTGTACGTGAAATCCCGACCAGACATTGATGACCACAAGGTCCCAAGAGAATTTTCGTCTGATCACCAGCGAACAGGAATTAATGTGGTGATTATCGTTATCTTTCCCCTTGTTTCTTCTATTCTGGCTCATCAAGTGGTTTCTTTCAATTGTGCAAATACTTTAATGTTGATTTTATTTACTTATTATTATTTTCTTTTTACTATCAACCCAGCAGTTTATGGTTTTTTTAAGTAAAATTTTGCATAGGCACCCATGCATTTATTTATTAAGAAAGAATAATAGTTGTTAGAAAATATAAAAAATTTTATGTTTATTGAAAAAATTGCAACTAACTATATCCAAATTTTTAATATCTTCTATTTATTCAATTACTGATTTGAAATGAGGAAATTACACATGCCTTTTGGTGTCAACTGTTCTCAAGTGTTTGAACTTTCTTAACCAAACAGCACAGTTTATTTTTTCTGATTATAAAGATTTTTATAAATGCCGGCTCAATGTGTGTTTTAATATTGATTTTATTTTTACAGTTACTAAATTAAAGGCATAGTCTGCCGTAGACTAATTTCTACTGCACAACCCCTTTAAGCAAAGTTGTTACCGCTTTTTTTTTTCTCAATGCGCTATGTTACTAACATGATTTATTGAGTTTTTCTTTTTTAATACAATTTATTATTAATAACTAGACAAATATATAGCATGTTTGACACTCTATTTGTTAGGTAGCTGAGGACTGAGTTTATTATAAGAATATAATTTCCTTAATCAATAAAATGTTCAAAATATGCAAAAATTCAAAATTACACAATATCAAATGTAAAACATTAATGTGACGATACATCACAATGAATCAAAAATGATAGAACAATGATATATCTCATCTCGATGCTAAAATCTTAACTTCGAGCAGTCCTAATAGATAGTTGATATAGGTAGTTGTCATCTTTTTACATTATCGAATTCAGAGTTCTCCCTAGAACTAAAAAATGGTAGGACACTGCTTCTCAGAAAAGAACATTTGGAGTTTCGAAAGGACACTCGCCTAACAGCATAAAAATTTATCAAAATCAGTAATATTGTGTAATAACTGAATTTTATTCTCAACAACTTTTAAATTACCTTCTAATAGTAGTTTATGTGTATGTTTAAAAGTAATTCTCTGTTATCATCAAAATAAGTGAAAAATTTGTAGATTTTAAAATAATTAAGCATGCTAAAAAAAAATTTTGTCTAAATTTTTTTCAAAAAAAGTAAACTAAAAAAAAAATTTAAAAAAAGATTCATTTATAAACAGCTTGAAAGCTTCTTTCTATAATTTAAACTGAAAATAATAAGAAAATTAACATTTATAGGCGCATTTTCGTTTAAAAAAAAATAATTTCTGTTCAAAAAAATAATTTTGAAATTCAAAATTTCTTAAAAAATTTATTAATATCCTTCCCCAAATAAAAGAGATACTTATAAACATTTAACTAGTTAAAAAAAAAAGTAAATATTTGTAATAGGAATCAGAATTAAATCTATAAACATGAATAATTTTACCTGGGGGTAATTATTATTTAAACAGAGAATTAATCTTTTGTTAAAATGGAATATGAATGACAAGGCAGTGTGTCTAAGGATGGCAGCTTATCTTTACAAAAAGGGAAAAGAGGGTTTATTTTTATAAGAAAAAAAGGCAAGCAGGACAGACCCTCCTTCTAAAAACGCCGAAAGAGAACACTGCTGTATGCTGCCTTGTCGACATCAAAATATATGCTTTCACTATATATTTTTCAGTTTTCTCTACTAACTGACTTAATGCATAGATTTGGTCTGTAATAAGTTTTCTTCTACAGAGTTGACTATTTGCTGATGATATTTGTCCCATCAAGAAATATAAAATTACATATTATATTAGAAAAAGTATTAATAGAGTTATTCTTCGGCAGTAGCCACATTCCAATTTATTTCTCTTTTTAAAAATTACTTAAGTCAAACATTACATAATGATTGTATGTGTTTCATCTGTCAGATTTGAGTCACTGACCTTTATAAGTTCAATTTTTATCCCATCTACACAAAGACAAGCAGATCATTACTCTTAATCTATTTTAATGCTTGTCCCCCTTTTCCAACATTCAACTTGAACTGTTCATTCTTAAATATTCCAATGGTAATTATGACTTTATTTGAGCTTCAAACTAACATTGTGCAATTAGATTAATGGAATTGGCATATAAGATGAAATACACAACAATTCATATAAATACATATAGAATTATTGTGATAATTATAAAAAGTCCACTGAGAAAGAATTATCAAATAGAAGTCAGATAAGGCAGAAGTGTTTTATCTTTAGGAAAATGTTTATAGAACAGCAGATAAAACTGATGAAAAACAATAGATGCATAAATTTTACTTACAATCAGGAACATTAATAAAAGGAATGCAGGCGATTTCATACATCTTGCAGAAAGACCATAGCCAGTAGAAGATTATTTAAATTTCTCATTAATAAATAAAATATTTATTTAAAAGATGATTTTAACATTCAAAATCACTTAAAAAAAAGTATGTATTAATACTACTTTACCAGAGCTCATTTTAGGCAGGGTGAACAGGGTGCAGCATCCTGCTGCCCTTTTAGTCAAAAGAATCCACCCTGTTGCCTCTGAAGTAAATTAGTGCCCTGATGTAATAGATTCCATACACTTTTTGCCCTTTCTTTACTCAACCCCTCTTTATTTTTTCCCCAAAATCTACAATGGATTTCTTAAACTTTTGTTATTTTCAACTCTTTTTATTTAGTTTGTCATTGCTGTCAATACATAGATTTATATGAGAAAGGAAAAATAGCCATCACATCCCCTTGTTGCACTTGTCTTTGAAAGTTTGCAGTTACTTCACTATCATTAGATCATAATTATTATTAATCATTTTAATTATTAAATCATAACTACAAACACTTAAAAACGTAAATTTATTATTTATTAATATGTGCATGCATTTTAAATAAATTACTAAGCTAATTAGCTCATAAACTCGATATATATATGTTAATTTATTAATAAAAATTAGTAATTAATGCTTTGCTACTTTTAGTAAAGAAAAAAAAATTGACAATGTTTTTTAATAGAACGTGTAAAGAACACGGAAAGAAATTATTGCCTTTTTAGAATAATAATGCCCTTTTTTTTAAACTTTTGCTCCCTGCCCTTTTTTCTGCCTAGAATGAGCTCTGACTTTACTGTATGTATAAATACTAAAAATTAAAAAATGTATTAATACTTCCTCTCCCAAAAAAGAGAAACTTATAAAAATTAAACCAGTTGACAATAATCTTAACAAAGTTATTATTTGTAATAGTAATCAATTAAACAGTTTTAATTGAAACAGCAAACTAATTTTTCTTTAAAATGGATGAATAAAAAGGCTTTCTTATAGTTCAAATGTATAGGGATCAAAGCGGACTGTCTTTCTAAACACAATATATAAATATATATATCTCAAGTCTAAAACATGTTAAAGTTTGTGAGTTGCTAATATGTCCAATTTTGGTGAAACTCAATAATAAAAGGACATGAGCTATGTAATTTACTCCTTTAGAACATTATTTGTCACAAAATAAAAGATTATTTTATTATTCCCAATGACGAAATGTAAGAAGAAAAACAAAATAATAAAATACGAGAAGCAATAAAGTCATAATCTCACTCAGTATCTCAACCCCCAGTAATACCTGACCAAGTTAGTTCCCCAAATTGCTCTATAATATGAAATATAGAGGCCATCTATAATGACCTATTCTCCTCAAAAGGGCAAGGAACCAATTTTAATAGATGTCCAGCCAGACAGTGATGTCAAGTAGAATGTAATATTGCCACTGCCTCATGGCAAGGCTATTGGGGTTTGCAAATTTTCTCAGAGAATGACCAACTTTTAGGAAGTTCTAGTTCTCAGATCGTCTTGATGTAAGTAAAAATAATTGATAAGACGTTTATACAATACACTTTGGGGCCAAAATAGATCCACCTCCATGTAGTGTGCACTGGGCAATACATCTTATGGTAAAAAGATTTATAAACTTTGGTAATAAAAAACTGCAAAACTATTTTTTTGTGTGTGTCATTTAACTCCATTGTATTCTCAACAATCAAAATCATGTTATATTTTATAAGATTGTGTTTTCTTTCTTTTTTTTGTTAAAAAAAAGCATAAAATCTAATTTTATAGATGTTATTATAAAATTTACTTTAAATCTAATGAGGTAATTTTAAAATAATCTCTTTATGAGAGTGAAATTCTCAATAGACACATAGCCAAAACAAAAAGACTCTCTAATTACATTTTAAAGAACTCTTAGAAAAGTTTTAAGATTTTTAATTTTTATCACTGTTATTTATAAAACATGCAAAATTGCCATTTGGATTCAAATAGTACAAACAAAAATACTGAGATCAGGGGCCCTTAAATAAAAATTAAATAATATATTGATCTGTAAATAACAAACAGCAAAAATTGGTGGAAAAAAATAATTAGTATGACATTAAACTTATATAAACTACCAGAATCAATCATTTGAAGGGGATGAAAAGAGTGATGTGTGAGAGTTACTAATAATAAACAAGCCTCGTTGTTATGGAAACAGCGTTTCATATGGTAAAATATTAGTAACCTAAAATGTTCGTAAAATAATTTAAATGCCTGAAAGAATTTTTCGCTAGAAGAGTATTGTTCAAATAATATAATTTTAGCAAAAATTTAAAGCTAAATAAACTTTAATAGATGATAACCCGATAACGTTGATACTAATATCTCTTCTAAGTTAAATAATACTGTAGGGGGAAAAAATGATAGAAATTAGCATAAATAGCAAAATTAGTACAAATGCATCCAGTAATTAAGAAAATAAAATTAAAATATAGTATCAATGATTAATTGTTGAATTACCTTTCTTTTTCCGCTTAGGTCGATTTGATGGACCCCATATTATGTATGAACCAGCAATGACGAGTGCTGCTGCACTCACACAGTACCAGAAATTCATGGAGTTGAAGAAAAAGGAAAAATTATAGTTTTTAAAGATATGGCCCTCCAGTATCTTTACTTTACAGTATGTTTACATTCGAAATTAAAAAAAAAAGTGCTTTTAGTGAATAAACAAAAATACCTGTATATAGATACAGTTACAGTTTTTAGCAGACACTAATAATATTGTTCAAAATTTTATTCGATTCATCTCTGCATATCGATACAAGATAATTTACTTAAATCGATGGTGTTTTCAGTGTGAACAATCTCAAGTGCTTGACCTGCTCTACTTCCGGTTAGAAAGTATACAGCTGCTTATTAGAGCTTACTCTTGGCGATATTATGAAGCAGATAATTTTGTTTCTACCAAAAGAAATACATTATATTGTTCCTGAGCTCAAATATACTGTATTTCATTAGATATTAATAATATTAAGTAATTTTAGTGAGCTTGAAATGTAAATTTGTTTTAGTTATTTATAAATTTATTGTTAAAAAAGGTGACATGGTTTCTATATTTAGAAAGAACTCGGTTGGAGCATTCTTTCCTTTCAAAATACCGACGGATAAAAAAAAAAAAAAAAAAAAAAAAAAAAAAAAAAAANAAAAAAAAAAGGAAAAAAAAATTTAAAAATGAAAAAAAAAAAGATAAGGTAAAATATCTCTGAATTTGAATTACATTAATGCAATCAACGCTAAATAAATAAAAAAGGGTAATAAAATAGAATAGAAAATCGAATTAAAAATGTTTACATTGGTCAACCTTTAAAAGTAGAATGCTTCCTTTTTTAGGAAACTGCAAGTCACTACACTGAATATTTTATTTGAACATTTTCATTTATTTTATTCATCGTTAGCTTTTATTTAAAAAAAAAAAAAAAGTAAAGTTATTTACTTTCATGAGTTTATCTTTTTTTATTATTAACATTCATTAATGAATTTTAAAAAAAATATGAATATTAATTGATTTTATGGAAAAATTGTCAGATATTGCAAAAGGTGGAGGCTACTATCAAAAATTTAAAACTGAATCCTTTTTGTTAAAACAATCTCTCAAGGAGAATTAATAAAATAAAATATAACATTTGAAAACTACATTTTTTTTTTTTATTTGGCTCATTTCAATAGGCTATTATTAGTAACTGATTGATCGTTGATGAATTTTTAGTAAGCAGGTATGTGAAGTGACGTCCTCTTAGACATTTCTGTTGTGTCGGAAAATCGATTACGAATTAAATTTCGATTATTTATAAAATGGCTATAAATTTTGCTTGCAATATTTAAGAGACAATATTTGAAAACAGGACTGACGCCAGGCACACAGCATCAGCTGAAATTTCAGCATGTAAAGATAGTCCAAAAGCAATCGAAATTTCGATTAGTTATAATTTGATAAAATTGCTACTTAAATTTGGCATATAGTGGTCAAAAAATAATTTAAAATTATAGTGTTACCCATCACAAGACTCCAGTTAAAATTTAATCTAGTCGATCGGATAGAGCTTAAAATTTCGATTGACCATAAATTTCCTTTCTTGATAATATTATAGAGATAAATTCTTCTAATAGCAATTATTCAGGAATACATATGAACTAAGCGTCATCTGTAAATGGCGATTTTTTTACGATTTTTCTTAAACGAATTTCCCAATAATCTTTTCTTCGTGAGCTTGGCTTTTTAACACATAGCTAATTTTATTTTATTTCAATTAATGAAACTTTATCAATTTTAATTGAGCATTGGTGCCAATAATATGCAAAATTTTTAAGGTTATCCAAAACCCAAATAAGTATCTTTTCTCCCAATTTTTGCTTTTTAGTTCAGAAATTACTTTTTTTATTTCAACTAATATATATTTCCAGCATTAATTAAGCATCATTGTCCTCAATGCTAGTATGGCGATTTCTTACGGTTCTTCTGTTCAAATAAATACCTTTACTCTATTACTTTTGCTTTCTAGTACATACATAGCTTATTTCTTTTATTTCAATATACGTAATATCTTAATTAAGCATCTTTTTCGTAAGCCTCATTGGCATCGATTTTTTATGCTTCTCCTAAACGAATTAGTACCACTTTCTCATTAATTTGCTTTTAATAATATTTTTTTTATATGTATTTTCAATATTTTTTTCTCATAATATCATAAATATTTTTTTCTATCCCGTTGGGCTAAAATAAGTAATTTTTTAGAAACATATTTAAAAAAGAATTAATATAAATAAAATAAAAGCGCGTAGTATCAAACAAATTATAAGTGATAATTACTAGTTTATTACTCTATTTGGTCAAAAAATAGTTAAATATGTGCAATAAACTATTTTTTGACCAAATAGAGTAATAAGCTAGTAATTATCACTGATGTTATTTTTAAAATTATTTGAAAAATTGAATCGTTAAATTTAAACCAATGGCTAAACCTTAACCAATCAAAAAATTCAATTTCGTTTTTGCTCATCCCGCTGGAACGATTTGTCTACGTTCTAATGTCGACAGTGACCTTCCTCGTGCTTCGAACTGTCTGTATGTCGAATTTCGTAGGTTTCGGTCTTATAGTTTAGAAGTCTATAAAGGACATTCATATATATATATATATCTATATATATATATAGATAAGTAGATGAGAAATGTGCAGCCATTAGTTTTTGAGTGTCAAAAATACCAAATATTTTTTATAACATAAAAAAAAAAAGAATATCAGGATTGAAGTCTTGAATTATATATTCAGTTTCTGATTCATACTCCTATATTTAAATTTATATAGTGAACGGAAAAACAAAAAAAAAAAGACCACAGTAAATAACTTTTGATCTAATTAACGGATCTAGTTTTAAGACTAAGGGTGACCTAATTAATAAGTGCAGACGTTATTTTAAGTTACGAAATCAGACACAAAAGGTGATTTAGCTGTATAAATATGCTTTTTTTCGACGGATTCGGATTTCAAACCCTAGACATATAAGGGGGAAGCCGCAATTTGCGAAATATCGTCCGAATAGTTTGATCAGGAGCGCGCTCAAAAGTTTGGACCCCTTAATGTTACTTTTTGCGCATTTTGCTGCATCTCGAGAACTTTTTCAACGAATTAATGAAAAAGCTGCACACAATTATAAAATTCGTTTATCCACAAATAATGCCATAAAAAAATTAATTTTTTATAATGGTCGAAAAAATTATCATTTTTACGAATATATTTTTGAATGGCAAAATTAAAATATTTGAGCTAAATTGGTTGAATAGTTCCTAAGAAATTGAATTTTAAGAAAGTTAGAAATTTAAAATGCGATTTTTCAAGAAATATTCCACCACTTTTGCACAAATTTTGTATTTTGCCTCCTAAAATTTTGCTTTTTAAAAAAATGCAAAAATTTGTATATCTTACAATTTAAACTTTTTTCGATCATTATTAAATAAAATAATAAGAAATAATTTACTTAAAATTATTTTTTGCGAGAAATTACCTCGTCGCATGCTATGATGCTGCCCAAACAATAACATCTGGCGATAATAAAGGATAAATATGTTTTAATATGTTTTCGGCTCATGACCTGTAAGAATTTATAAACTACAAAAAACTCTCATAAATCGAAAAATTTCGAGGGAATTTGATAAAAAAAATTCCAATTATAAAACTTCCTAGATCATTAAGCCTGTTCACTCAACGCTTCGTTATCATAACATTAGCGGAGATATACACCGGAAGTTTCCTGAATTTCTCCTAGATTAACGAAGTTTTTCATTGTTTGCCAGAGAAATAAATAGTGCAAACCTGAAATTATTAAGAAGTAGTTCAATGCAATTGGAATATTATTGGACTCAAATATTTGGACTAACTAAGTATTGGAGCCACGATGGCTCAGGGATTGGAGCTTTCGCTTTCCAATGAACCGGGTTCAAATCCCAGCGATGACTGGTCGATACGAATCCGCATCTGGCTTGCACTGACCACAGTGCTGACTTAAAATAGCCTATGTTAGAGATTTTCGTGGTTTTCCTCTCCATGTAAAGCAAATGTGGGTTAGTTCCATCAACAACGAAAAAAAAAAGAAAAAAAAGTCCTCCACGAAGGTAAATTTCCTCCAATACTTAATATAGGAGCTCCCTTGTCTTCTTTATTGGGTTCAAAATTACAAGGCTATGGAATTGAACATTTGTAGCACTAAACCCAAAATTTGGTCAGTTGTTCAACGACGGTTATAAAATAAAATAAAATACTATTTTGAGTACTATTAGCAGATGTCGTGAACTCAACTGAAAGCTAATAAAAAGAAAAATTTTACTTGCAAATTTTCTGTGTTTTTAGTAGAAGTCGAACAATTTGTAACATTTCAAAACATTTAAAAATATCGAAATAAAAAATTATATTAGGTTCTAAACATTTGTTTTCAAAAGCATCTTTATAGTTATATATTATTATAAATTACGCATTATTATAAATTACTTTCGAGTCAGATTTAAAAAAGGGAAAATGCTACATTATTTATTAGTTAATTAATTAACAAACATGACTCTTTAATTCAGGACGTAGTGTAAAATAGCTCTCGAGTTGGACGTAAAAATGAAAAATGCTACATTATTAATCAGTTAATTAATTAAAAAACATGACTTTTTAATTAAGTATATAGTGAAAAATAACTTTTGAGTTGTATTTAAAATTTTTCGATTTTTTATTATTATTTTCAGGGAGTTTTAGAATAGTTTCAAAAAATTTCTTTGATATCTCATGTAAGTAACGAAAGGAATAATTTTTTTTTCTTTCTTTTAGAATCTTTTTTCCCTTTGGAAACTCTTACTCTTTTTTTATTATTATTATTTTCAATCAACAAATTTGATAATGTAATCAAAGTGTCAAACTCTTATCATTAAACCAGTTCTAGATTTTTGACACGTATTACATTTGAAAGGTGGAACCGGTTTAAAAAATATCAAATACATTCCAAAGTTAATGAATGTGATTTTTCAGTATTCCTGGATTCAGTGAAAAATGTCGAGAAGGGTTTTAGCGGCAGATATTTTAAGGAGCAATAAGGGATACAGATATTTCCTGAGATAATTGCAGTGAGAGTTCATGGACTGATTTTGCCTTAGAATAATGCGATAATTTTTTTGTAAATTTATTATTTCTGTCAATATAACCATCACTTTTCACCACGATTCACTTTTTTTATTCATTTATTTTTTGTGGTACAAGTCGAAAGTTCCAAAGAGCTCACAACTTCGGTGTTTATTTTTTAAATTTAAGAATTTGGAACATTAAGCTTTTTTTTTTTTTTTTTTTAAATTTAACAGCTATTAAGTGAATTGATTAAGAAATCAACTTTAAATAAAATGCGGTCATACGTGTTTTTTTATGACTCATTACTCAAACTTATATATAGCACTGCAAGCTATTAATTTTTTGTTTAATTTTGCAGATCTATGCATAAGAAAAAAATAATAATAATAAAAAAAGAAAAACATCAATCAATGCTTGATTGTTTAAAAATATTAAATAGATAAATTTGCCTTAGATATTAATACGATATTTTTTGGAAATATTAAATTGATTGATATGTTTTAGATAGATTAATATGCTATTAATATATTAATATGCTTTTTTAAAAAAAAATTTAATCGATGCTTGAAAATGTTAAAAAGACTTGGCACAAATTTCTTGTATATAATATTTTAGCTATTAAATAAATGAAATTTTTTATTTCTTTAATTTTTCGAATAAGAAAAAATAGACAAACTTTTTCAGGTAGGATTTCTGAAAATAATTTTCTAGTGGAATTGATGCTATTAAAGTTGACACAAAAAATGTTATTAAAATAAATTTGACGTGAATTATAAGCTCTTTCCAAATCTTTTTAATCATATAAATTATTTGCAGCCTTTACTGTGATTATAAGCGCGGAAATAATGTACTATGTTATGTATAATTAAGTATAATATATAATACTTCTAATAAAGCATAACTAATTTAATAAATAATGTAGACTCCTAGCACGTACGTGCGTAAAACAAATAAATCATGATGTATTATGACTTCAGAAAAAATTCCAATACCCGTCAAGTAACTCACGATACTATTTATTAGCTAATACTATTACCATTTACTGCTATCACTATTTGATACTGTTTATTAGCTATTGAAATTAGTTTTAATGATTTAAAATTGAAGTTTTGAAACATATCTAGCTGAATGAAAAAGTAATGTTTTTATTTTCTTTCTGGGATAAAGCTCAGATCTCGTAGCTAAATATATTGCCATTTTTAAGTTATTTTTAAAATTGGTATTATAAGAAATTGTTTTTACAGTCTGAAATCCTTTCTGAACTTTTTAATGTTACCATAATTAAAAGCGTTAATAAAGCAAAGGATTACATCGTACTACTCTTTATAAACACGGTTAAAAAACTATAGTCTATTTTGCTCATTACCTGCATTTTTCATGAAATGTTTTAAGATCTCATTTATCAGTTTCTTTTAATTACAGCATGACCATCAGTAAAAAATAAATTAAGTTCATGCTTTGTGATTGGTCACAAAACAACGGCGAATCTGAATTACAGCTTAATTTATAATGCACAGAAGTAAGGTTATCAGCCGTTTTCAAATCTTGAGGACAGTCCTCGAATTTCATTGATTATTCTTAAGAAAATTTCATGATACTTCAAATCTTAAATGATATGATAGATGATAGGATATATATTTATATGATATTTCAACTTTTTGAGGACAGAAAAAGTTCACAAATTTAAACATGTGTTCTCAAGTGTCCTTATATTTTCCCGCAAACATGTAATCTTTTTTTATGTGCAGTAAAATATTTTATTTTGTGACAGTCGTTGAACAGCCGACCCAATTTGGATTTGTGGCCAAATTTTTAAAAAAATGGCCATTCTCAAAAATGCTACAGCCTGCTATTGCGAAATTTTCTAATTTCATATAGTATCTAAGAGTCCTACTAACATAGAGAAAAAAAAATGAATAAAACTTACGTTTTTAATCAGTTATTAAAAGAAATATCGACAAAAATTTTTTTATGTGAATTTAATTTTTTATAAGAATAGATAAATTAAATTTTAAAATATATGATTTATAAATAAATAGAATTGAAGGTTAGATTAAAGTATTAGTAAAATGAAACTACGAGGACTTTTCGACATTTAATCTAGAAATTTATCACCTTTATTCATTTCCCCCCCCTTTTTTTTTCTTTCTTGGTTACAATCAGATCTGCAATTTTTAAAACTAGAATTAATTTTACGGCCACAGTTTTTATAATTGTAATTATTTAAAAAAATAAAAAAACAAAAAAAAATGTTTTAAAATATTTATACGGTTTCAACTTATTTCATTAAATAAGAATGCAAAATATATTTTTACCAAAATAATATCCTTCTTTTTCTTTGATGATTTTTACCTTTTTCTCATAGAACTTTTTATGTAATTAAAATAAAAAATATTTTTTTCTTCCTGAAATTAAATTTCTCTTTTGCTTTATTTTTGATTCATGAAAGTACACCACAGCGATGGCGCATTTTTATTCCTAAAAAAATTATTTACTTATCGCGCCTCCAGGTCACTAGTCCGTGAAACGTAATCGCTCCTGTTACATTTGATTGCCTTGGCAGTGTTTATTTTGTATATGACTTGTCATTTATTTTTATAGTTGGTAAGATGCAGTATAGATGGCAGCACTACTAGAATTCAATGACAGCTCCCCCGATGTCATATTTGATAGCAAAATGCTGCAGCATACAATTGGAAATTGTGATTCTATCAAAACATGTACACTATTATAAAGAAATATTTTTTCTTTCCTTAAAAGCAGTATTATTATCTGATTTTAGAAAAGAACTAAGCTATGAAATATTTTTTGACAGTTTAAAAAAGGGGGCAGCGATGACAGATGGAAGAGTAGCATATGCTCCATGTGACTAAGGCCCCGCCTAGTCGATGGTGTGCTTGTATATGATTGGTTGTTGGATCCTAACACATGCAAACATAATAACGTGGTTTATATACTTTAGACAGGTCACGAGAAATTTCTGAATTTTCTTATGGTTTTAATGTATATTTTATGTTATCATTCTCTTAGAATAATGTTTTAAATTCAAAAATCTCTGACCTAAAGTCTCACCTATAGTTTAATCGAATTTTTTTTAGTAGGATGGGCCATTGATCCAGGTATTTGCGGTAAATAACAATTTTCGTCACGCTGCACATACCTTTTGTGTTCACAAGCATTCTGTTCTGAGCCGCTGATTATTATCCGAGAAGGTAAAATAAACTGATTTGATCTGATCGTCTGCTTTACTTTATTATAAAGGTGTAGCTGCGTATCATATTTGTAAACAGTATTCGATTACTCAAACCTTAGCGTTTAAAAGGAACCAACGTCAATCACGGTTACCACGTGGTTCTTTGTATTCTGCCTTCTCTCGATGCGTGTGTTTTGATGTCATCCCGCCATCTTGAGATCGTTATTTTACAATGTGCTGTTAAATATCCTTAATTCATGGAATTTTTAGTGATCTGTAGATGCGAAAGGCCGTATTAATGTGCTTGGGACGTATTGGAAAGCGATGAGCCTTTCAACTCTACTGGAAGCCGCAAAATATGTAGAATACCAAGCTGAAGCTCAAGCACGTGGTATGTATTAAATAGCTTGTAATTTAGTTATTTTGCACTATATTGTAAAACATATGATGTTTATTAAAAGTTTACATTTTAGGGTGTGGTATTAAGCTGAACGATTTCACTTAAACATGCAGCATTAATGTGAAAGACGCTGCTAAGTTCCTTGCTGTCTTATTGATTTGTTTGCAAATATTGTTTTCCTCTTATTTGTAATTTATAACCACAATTCTAATAGTGTTTATTGATTTGACTTTAACTTTGCTTAAAAAGTTCAATTTTGTTATACTGACTAAAAATTGCCTCTATATTTACTACTCTTATTTCGATATCATTTCGTTCTTTGTCAGGCTTGCAGTGTTCAATTGGTTTAAAATAAGGAAAAAGATCAGTTATAGGTAAAAGAAATCTATTTCTTTTTATGATTTTTTTATTTTATTTGATTTTCAATTTTGATACTAAGTATAGATACCACTTTTGTGATTTTGACCTTCGAGTTATCGTTGTCCCTATCTTTTTCACAACTATTTCATTTGTTGTTTGTTATTCCTTGTAATTTTCTCTGTCAGTTTTCCGATTTGATAAGTGTAGTTTTTATTGTTAGTTGCAAATTAACATTTTTAAACTATATTTTTTTGAATTTATTGTTATAAATGTTTATTGTTCTGCCTATCTTAACACTGATAGAACTTGGATCGATGTTCTGTTATTAAAAAACAGAGTTCTTTTTTCCATAATTTGTTTAACTTTATTTTTGCAAATCGACAATATATAATCAAATCTTAGCAATTTCCTATTTTGCTTTATTATTATGCCAGATTGCAATTGTTAACATGTATTGTAAAAAAAAATTGTCTTAATTTTTTTTTTTTTTTAAGACATTTGGGTTTAGTTTGCAATTATTTTATGATTTTACTATGAAAATAATTCAATCTTTTGTTTTGATTATTAAATTTAGTTTACTTCCTTTAGTATTTATTTTAGTAGTAAGAAGTACTGAAATGTTTTTTTTAATTTTTTTTATTTTGTATTTCTAAATTTTATAGTTAGTATTTAAAAAAGGTTATAAATTGATCACCATAGCAAAGGGCACTGTAAGTACTTTTAGTGAATTATCTATATTGTACTAATATGATTTTATATATTTGCTTTCACTTTTTTTTATTGCATAAAAAGTATTTAAATGAAATTAAAGTAATTGTTATGTTTTTCAGCTGATTTATAGCAATGCATATTAGTTTTTTTTTTAATTTTTATAATGTGATTAGTTTATTGTAAACTTAGGTTTTTCTCATATATTTGTTTACTAATTAAAATGTCTTTTTAAAAATTTTTGTAACTGCTTATTTTGTTAAGTTGGATTGGATGCTCTCTAGGGATTGAATTTGTTCTGATTAAAAAAATATTTGTCTAACAAGCTATTTATATGTGTTGTATAAATATTTGAACTTATTCCCTCTTTTTTTTAAAAAAGGAATATTGAAATTGAAGTAAGAGAAGCTAAAAGGTTTAAAATAAAATAGCTGTAATTAAGGTTTTTCTATAAAATGAAATTTTTCGATAAATAATTATAACTTCAGTACGTAAATTGAGCAGACTTAGATAATTTTTCATAAGAGAGATGCACAACGGGGGGATTTGTTTGAATGTGTGCTTAATTTTGGTATACCAGTGTTTTCATCATAGAAAAAAAATGGGTGAGAATTTCTCACCCTTTCTCAAAAATAGGGTGAGATTTCAGAAAGTTAAGTGAGATTTCTAAAAACTAAAAAAACACAAATAGACTTGAAAAAAAATCATTTCTCTTATTATAATACATTTTAAGTCTTCTATTTTTAAAGCATTGAATATTTTTGATAAAGCATTGAATATTTGAATATTACATGANATTCAGAAAGTTAAGTGAGATTTCTAAAAACTAAAAAAACACAAATAGACTTGAAAAAAATCATTTCTCTAAATATAATACATTTTTACGTCTTCTATTTTTAAAGCATTGAATATTCTTGCTGCATCATCATAGAAGATTTTGCCTTTACTAGGTATTTGTCCATCTTACAGTAGTGCATAAAAAATTTGAATGTCTTACATGAAAAAACCTTACCTACGGTAAACACGTGGTTGCAGAGAAATGTGTTCTGAAAGGGGTTCCGTGGTTCGGTTGTGTTCTGTTGTTCGAAAAGGTTCTGAACAATACTGGTAAATAGGGAAGCTAGATAACGGAGCAAATATTGAAAATAATGAAAGATCCAGGAAGAAAAGTGAAACGGATTTTATTCTAAACAGCGTAATTCGAAGCTTCTTCCAAAATGAGAAAAATTCTCGAATTTTGAAATTGATTTATAGAATGCGCGAATTTCTCGCAGTAATCATTTTTTAATGCGAGAAAAGAAAACAATATGCGAGATTTTCGCGTTCTCGCTCTGTAGTGAAAACACTGTATAATTTCATATTTTGATGCTATAGTACATATGGGACAACAGATTAAAAATGTTTTTTAGTATTTTATTTTAATAACTCATGCGAATTAGTGAAACTTTTACGAAATTACTATTTTTTAGGTTCCAAATGAACTAAAAATGGTGTATTGTAGTGAATGTGTATTATATGTCTAATGACATAGTGTATTTTGTTTCATGTATTGAAATATTTAAATTATTTCTAATTTTTATATTAAAATGTATATTGTATAGAAATGTTTACATAATTCCCATTTGATTCGGAACTTTCTAATTGGATCAATAGTTGATCATAAAGAGAAAAACATCTTTTAGATAATCATACACTTAAAAAAGTCTTACAATTTTTTTTAAACTATGATTTGTCCAATATAAATTAGTTGCATATTAAGGTACCTCGTGATTGAATCAAGTTAGCATGTCTTATATACCAGTGAATTGATGTTTAATTTTCGTAGTGTTAGTTACGCCACAATACTCCCCCACCAGAATTTTATCAGGGATAGAATTCGATGAACGGATACCACTAGTTGCTGTACTTGTGAAAGTTCGGGAGAGCTGGTTTTAAGGTCACTGAGTTTTTGAGTGCTGAATGGGAGAGGTGTATTAACTAGTCGTAGTCGCTCCTGTGTTGCCATTAGCAGTCAAGTGTATGCAGGCAGCCATTGTGTTTCATCGAGACGAGACTGAGTAGCAACAGCGTGAGGAGGTGGATAATGTCGCAGTCACATGTAGCAAGTCAACTGTTCAATGTGGACCATCCAACGAAGTAGGCGCTACTGTCAAGATTTTTGCGAAGTAGGCGTTATTGCGTGTTCAAATCACGTCCGGAGGTCACCAATGTGGGGGCGGAGTTATCGACCATGCCAACCGTCATCTATCAAAAGGTACCTCGTGATTGAATCAAGTTAGCATATCTTATATACCAGTGAATTGATGTTTAATTTTCGTAATGGTAGTTACGCCACAATGCTATTATTTGGCATTTAAATTATAAGTATGTAAAATGTCACAAAGCTTTTAAAATCTTATTTCGAAAGTTTGCACTTATGTACCAACTTGTTCATATCATGATTCATTTTTTTTTACCGAATTGTGGTTAAACCACTTCAAAATACATGTTCTTCATGGGACTTTGGCTAAAACACTATAATTTATATTTTTCATAGAATTATGACGAAAGCTATTCAAGGTACATATTTTTTAAAGAATTGCAAATATGGACTTTGCTTTCTTTGGAAACTTTTATTTTCAAAACTTCTTAGTCTTGTAGCATTGTCATACAGTTAGTTTTATTAAGTTTTTCAACATTTTTACAGAGGATAGAGCGTTTGCCTTCCAGTGCGGCGAACTGGGTTCGAATCCCAGTCGATACGAATTCCGCATCCGGCACGGTGCATACGTGAAATATCCTCAGTGATAGATGGATCATGGGTTAGAGTCTTCTTGAGGTTTTCGTGTTCTTTTTCTCCATGTAATGCAAATGCGGGTAAGCTCCATCAAAAAGTCCTCAATGCAGGCAAATTTCTCCCAATACTCGATCCAGGAGATAAGTGTAGTTTTTATTGTTAGTTGCANAAAATTACAAGGCTGCAGAGTTGAACATTAGTAGTCGTAAACCCATAAAATTGGGTCGGCTGTTCAACGACGGTTACAAAATAAAATATAAAAATATATAGCTTCTTTTGTAAAATTTTTCTTCCTCTGTTTCATGTTTTATAGGAGAAGAACCTCACGATTACTATACATTTTCTAAACTCTGTGCTGCACGAAAAGATGGTGTTTATCCTACTCCCGTTGAGCACATATCTCCAAAAAAGCCCCCAAGCTTACCGAATTCTACCCATTCACCTGAAGAGAGTAAAGAGAAAAGACGATCTAGTTCATCTTCCTCCGGGTTGACAAAGGATACTTCATCTCACCAGGAGCATTCTGGGTAAGTTTCAATTATACTTTTAAAATGCTTACAATATACCCTTTTTATTCTTTTAAAATTATTTTCTTTAAGCATTTTCAAGTTTTCCCGAATCTCTTGCTTGTTCAGAGTTTTCTATGCCAATTGCTTATTTAAGAATACCAAAATACCCAGTAAAAATTTAAATAGAATCAAATATATTTTTTATAATTCTGAACATCTCTGAAAAGCAACAACCACACTTTAAGAATGCAAAGGCAGATGTATGAACAGAAAGGCCTGATGTTTCACTGAACTTTTGGGTACCTTTTCTAAATTTTTCGTAATGCTGTGTACCACTAATTAAAAAATGAATGTATTTTTTACTATAAAAAAACTGCACAAAAGTTAAAAATCACAAGTGGCTGTTGACACCACTAATTATTAACTGTTAACTCTGCAAAAAGTAGCCAATAGTAATCGTAAGAAATTATACGTAATCGTAAATTTTCATGGCTTGCTTTGTTTTTAAATAAAATATTTTGAAATTTTCGTTTGTTGCAAGATATTTTGCCTAAGAACGCATGCCCCTGCTTAACTGTTTCCGTACCCCTGGGGGTATGCATACCACACTTCTGGAAACACTGTCGTATGGAAAAAAAAAGGGATTTTGAACAGATCAACCAGGACTCAATTTAGGTTCATTAACAGACCCCTTAAATAAATTGTTAAAATGGACCCTTCACAAAATAGCTCAATATAAAAATGGACCCTTCACAAAAGATCAGAAAAACTGATCCTTCAGAGATAATTTCATTCCAAAATATGTCCCTTTTCAAAAATTTTCTTTTTGTGTCACTGCTTGTTTTTTTCCAAATTGACAAAGTTATGAGTAGATTCTTTACTATTTTGCAAAATCTTTCATATAAAAAACATAATGAAGAACTCTTACCAACTCTTTTTGTCAAATCTGTTAGGAAACTGTAATTAAATTTTCTTGCCTGGATTTGTAGCTTTCCTTTTTTGCAACTTTTTAAAATTCTTAATTGATTTAAGGAATTATACTAGTATAATAGTTATATTTTATGCAACATAAATATTTTTTTCTGAAATATTTGTTCTTCAAAACATGCAAAAGTTTCGGTCCAATACATTTGTATACTTAAAGCTTATAGTTAAATATGACCTTGAATACAATGGTTCCAACAGTTTAAGTTACAGATCTGCTTATTCTCAGACTTTTGAGCATTGTCTCAACTAGCTATAATCTTAAGACCTCTGACCATCAATTTATTTTGTCAGTGTGTTAATTAAATTTTACACACTGTTCATACTCTTTCCTTCAAATCAGCAAATTTTTTGTTTAAAAGGAATTTATGATTAAACAATAAATTCAATATTTTTTTTAATGTGAAAATTTTTTCATAAACTCACCTTTTCCCCTCTCAAAAAAATGTATGAAACGTCTTATACAAATGATTTCTCTTGTAAGAGTGATATCTTGATTTTTGTCAAAATAGCTATTTTGAGAAATATTACAATTGTATCTTTTTTGGGGCCAACGTTTCTTATTGATAGTTTTTCTAGGTTTGTTGAAGTTTTAGTAAATGATACATAGCTCATTTCTTGGTCAGGGTGGCCACGCACCTGGAAAACCTGGAATCATCAGGGAATTTTTTTTATACTGGAAAAATCCTGGAAAAGTCAGGGAATTTTAAAGAAAAGTTGTAATTTTATTCTTAATTTGAATTATTTTACCATCCATTATATCCGCTTTATTTAGACTGAAATTTATCGTCAAACAGTTGAAAAATCATCAACTTAGTAATACTTTGCTTGTATTAAATATTCTTTCCATTATTACCCTGCTAAACAAGAATACCATAAGAAACTCTCCCATGTTGCTAAGTGAATGGCGAAATCTTTGACCTCTTTGGAGATTAGGAAAGGCAATAATTGTAATATAAGTGGAAGAAGGGTTTAGGATATTTGCTCCATAGGCTGAATTCATTTACTGTTCAAGTTTGTTCCAATGCTTTGGGGGTATTATCTTCTTTCAACAAAATGTTTTAGTGTTTTTAACTTTCCAAAATATAATTGGTTATAGTTTAATAATAGATTTTATCTTGTACTCTTTTTCTGTAAGCTTTTATCTTTTCATCCAATGAACTATTTTTCTTGCCAAAATTGTTTTTGCATCAGATACCACTGCTTTTCTTTTTATTACATTTGTTTTTATTTATTTCCATCTCTTATTTTGCTTTTTCTTTATGAAATGAAATATGAATAGAAACCATCTAAATATTCCTTTAGGTTAGTTTACAATAATGTATTTCACTTCATTCACATAATAAAATTTGTTTAACTATGCTGTGCTTTAAGTTATTTATATTATAACTTAAAATTGATCAATGAAGTTTTTATATATGAAGGACGAGGAAAAGAACTGCCTCTCACCCCTTCTTCTGCCGCCATTTCCAATGCCACAATTTCCCCCGCTTCTCCACCATTCCTTTTTAATCAAAAAGAAACAGTCTTCGTTTGTTGCTGAAGCAATAAACTTCATAGCCCAGCCGGGGCTGATGTTTGTGTAAACGGGGCAGACGGCCAATATTCTTGCTTATGATAACAGGGCAGACTGCCCATATTTTTCAACTTTCATGTTTTTTTATAAATATTTCATTATATCTGTAAATTCATTTTATTATTAAATATTTCAATCATATAAAAAACTGTTCGTTCCTCTAAAACCCCACATTATATATTTTTTTATTTTAATTTTATTTTGTTTATTGTTTATTTATTTGAGGCAAGCAACTCAGTTTTAATTTTTTTGAGAAACAATTTAACTTTATTTAGAACATTATAAATTAGAGCTTGAAAAATTAATGTATTTAGAGGGAAAAAAAATCCGGACATTCTGTAGTTATTTATTATTATTTTTGAGTAAAGAAATTAAAAAAAAAAAAAATGATAATAAACCTACTTACTTAGCAAACTACAACAATAACACACAACCTATTCAATTATTAGGTAAATGGGATACAAATTTTTAGTAGCTATTGGGCCTGTAATTGACAAATGAAACTGGAGAGGAGGGGGTGTAAGAAAAGGATAAAAATGTATTCTAGAATTCACATAAAAAAAAAATTTCATCTCTAATGCTACAACCAGGGACATATGCTCTTTCTCTTTTGCTGTTACCTATGCCACCAAATGCAAGTAAAAGGTACATCTGTTAATATCGTCTGCTTTGAAACATCAAATGTAATTGTTACAATTGTAAGAACTGTACAAAAGGATCATTTAATTTTATGCAGGCAATAAATAAAGCTATTATGGTGAATTTTTTTAATGCATGATGCATTTTTTAGTTTTTAACATTCAAAATAACATTTTAACATTTATGATACTTTTTGATGGTTAAAACCACTTTTATCCAATGTCCTGGTTATAATTAGTATTCACAAGTTAGACTCAACAACTGTATTTCCAAGTCTTAGTTTTCCAATATTCACTACCATCATGGTATTAATTATAATAGGTAATTAATATGTGTGATTACTATGATTGTGATTATTGGTCATATTTCTCTAAAAGATTCAAAAGGGACTGAAAAATTATGAGAAGGACTAAGTTCATAGTTATTTGTTGATTTTTCTTTTATTTCTTTAAGGATTTAATCCTATTGGATCAGTGGTGGCCTACTGAAATCAGAAATTATATTGTTTAATTCTAAAAAAAAAATTCAAAGCTAAAATTTTTCAAAAAAATTTCCGGTAGAAATTAATGATCAGTATTTTATTCAAGACAAAAAATTTTAATTCAAATGATTTGTCTCCTCTTTAATTTCCCAACTCTTAGCTTGTTTAATGTTACTAGAGTGCATAACTGCCAGATCTATTGGATTTTCCAGTAGACTGCTGAATTTTGCCAGTTTCTCTTTGTCAACTAGTTTAATTAAAATTTTCCTGGTTTTTGTACATTTTAGAAAATTCCCTAAAATTGATTAATTTTCCTAAAAAATAAAATCCCTATTGAAATAGAATTTTTGTCTGATTATTGCTTGAATATTTAAGTATTACTATACATAATGAAGCGAACCTCAATTGTAGAAATAAGTTCAAAACTTTTTTTTTTCTAAAATGTTCAGTTTGTTTTTATTGAAAACTCTTTTTAAATTAATTTAAAAAAAGTTATCTTTGAGTTAAATGCCTATTAATGTTCAAAATTATGAGTAAGCATAATACCTAATATTTCAAGTATGTTTAATGTCAATCATAACTGGAAATCTTGCAGTTTTCGTATTTTTGATTAGTATAAAAATCCTTAAAATTACCTAAAATATTTAATACCTTATACAACAATTAACATGAAATTTATATTTCGTAAAATCTACTGGATTTTTTCCTATCCATGTTGGCAGCTATGAGAGTGGATTTTGAGTTTAGTAGAATTTTCTCTTATAATAAACTATAAATTATATCTAGTTTTATTTAATAACTTTCATGTTTTGGTTTTTATTATTTCAGCACTGGAACAAGAGAAGTTCATAACAAACTAGAAAAGAACAGGTAATATGCCTTTTTTATTTTAAATTTAAGCTATATTTATTTAATATTTTAACTAAGCTTCTGTGGCTAGGTATTTTGTATTGTATTTATTTTTTTTCTTCCAAATCTATCCTTTTATTAAGATGTTTAAATTAAAGGGTATGCATTCATGTCTTAAAATAGTAATTTTTTAGCACTTGATTGAGCACATGCCAAGGTTCACAAAGGCCTAGGTTTTTAAGAAGAAACCAAAATTTGCTGGGGGAGGGGGTCTGTGGAACTGCTCTTCCCTCCAGGAGTCCCATAATTCTTCTAGTTTCAAGACACTCTCTGCCCCTGTAGATATATCTTTGTTCTATTGAACTGCAAGACTTCTCATGCTTGAGAGAGCAAATGATGGACATAATTTTTTTTTTTAAAAAAAGTGTTTTGATGGGTAAAGTAAGTTGACAATAAAATTTACCAATGTTTTGACCCATAGATAAGTCTACCCCCACTTCATATCCTGTTTTTTTTTTTTTGTTTTTTTTTTTGAGACGGAGTCT